ATATACCTAACAATAAATTCCAGAAATATAACATTTGAACAACAACCGAGAAAGATGAGAGCTATCGTTTGTATGACACGATTCATCTTTGTGTTGTCGGTTTTAAAAATATCTATATGGATGACGTGTTATAAGAAGTTTTCATTTTTTTCACCAATGATCTCTTCATTTCATAGAGGATCAAGGAAAGAAATTCATTGGTTAAAAGAAAAATCTCGACATATTATATTGATGTTGATAAATCATCATCAATTATTTGACTTTTTTTTTTATTAATAGAAAGAATGAGTTCGAAAAATTTTTATGATAAACATGCTGAACATCAAGATAATACAAGTATGGGTAAATTACGTTCAAAATATTGGACAACAAAACAGCTTGTTATGAAAAAACTTGGTAGAGAAGAAGATGAATTTGTTATTGCATCAGATGCAGATGTCGATGCTAAACTTGAATTATTATATGCTGTTAGACAATCATGCCATGATTTACTTCGTGTAAATTTAGATTTCTTTTTAATTCATTAAATCGATTGTGTTGTTTTATTTATATAGGTTATGGAAAGCTATCAAACAAATGTTCTGTTTCTTTCGCATGAAGAAACAGATATGGCACGTTTTTTGAAAGATTATGCTCAAATGGATAAAACTCGAGCTGGAAAAATGATGGCAAGTGTATCGAAAGTTCTTGCTTATACAGCACATCAACGTTTAGCATTACGTCAACCATTACTTCGTTTACATAATGAAATCGAAACATTTCGTCATCGTGCAGTAACAGATACAATGTCAACAGTGAAACGAATGGAAACAGCAAGAACAGAATATCGTGGAAGTATATTATGGTTAAAAGATGCATCGGTACAACTTGATCCAGAAAAACAATTAGAAAAATTTCGTCGAGTACAAAGTCAAGTAAAAACAACTAAGACAGAATATGATCGATTAAAATCTGATGTTCTACAAAAAATTGATTTATTAACAGCTAGTCGATGGTAATAAAAGAATTTTTGTTTTAGAAAAAAAAATAAATCTATTCATTTTTAGTAATATGTATTCACATGCATTAGCTACTTATCAAAAAAGTTTACTTGTCTTTTGGGAAAAAACTTCAAAAACAATGTCAGCTGTTGCTGAATCATTTAAAGGTTATCAATATTATGAATTTACCGTTATTAAAGATCTCGCTGAACCAAGTCGATTATTAGCTGAATTAAATTCGAAATCATCGATTGAAAAAAACTAAAACGAAAGATGATGCACTTATTAATGTTAATGAAACAAAAAATAATCAAAAAGAAATACAGGATTTAACGGAACCTGTTAATGCATTAATTGATATATCTGATGATCAACTTGATGATCAACTTCTTGAATTAGAAAAATTAACAACAATTGATCGTACACCAACAACATCTGGAAATATGAAGAAAACATCAACTAGTGATGATAATCTTGTTGAATTAGCAGATACAATTGCTGAACATGACAAACTATTTTCTGATCTACTTTCATCATCATCATCATCAACAACAACAGGAAATACGACTACAGATCTTCTTGGATCAAATGATAATAATAGTTTTGATGCTCATTGGACAGCAGCATTTGGTAATACTTCAAATCAACAACAAATATCTAATATTCCTACAGAATCTTCTGCATCCAATAATAGTTTTCTTCCATCATCACTTCTTAGTGAATTATTAACTTCAATGAATAAAAATAATAAACCAACAGTTCAACCATCACCATCATCAAATCCTAAACCAAAACCTATAGCAACAACAAAAACTTCCGATAAATCAAATTGGTTAAATCTATTTGCTGAACTTGATCCAATACAAAATCCTGATGCTATTGGAAAAACAGGTGGCGATGAAGCTGATCGAAGTTGTTAAATATCTTTATTCTTTTGTTCTCAAAATACATTTTCTCTAGTCATGAAGATTAATATATATAGTCTTCAAATGAATGATCTGAAAACAAACAAAAAATAATGACATTCTTTTTTTTTTATGTATATTATTCTATTTGTTTTATTTTAAAACATTTTATTTATCGCTTTGTTTTGTCTATGAATGTATTATGTTCATGTAACCGTTCGTTTTATTTTTTGTTGTTAAGAAAAGTATTTATCTGAAAAAAATTTATTCTCTTCAATCAAATACGTATAGAATCTGTGTTCAAAATTTTTACATTCGATAAATTAGTATCGACTTCAGTGATGGAGTTTGTGAGTCATCCATGCATATAAGTGAACCAGATGTATTGCAGCTGCTGGATCGAGATAGAAAAAACTTCATTAAGAGTATCATAAATGTTTACAAATTGTGTATCGATTCAAAATTTCATGACATGATAAGTGGATGTGGGTATGTGGTACATGTTATCAGCACTGCACCCATACCCACTCTTTATTATATTTTTCTTTTCATCATTCTGTTGAAATCACTTATACAATAAATCTAATAATCGTGAAGTAAAGTTTACAATTCCAATACATAAAACTCCAGTGGAGTCTACTTTTTTTCGTAAAAGGACTAGTCAAGTTAGAAACAGTCTACTTGAAATAAAATACTATTTGACTATGAAGCACTTCGAATTTATAAATATAAAACATAATTTTAGTCAAGAAAAATTTGCTTCAGTAACTTCTGATGAACAAAATATGAATGCATCTAATATATCACATAAATTAAAATTAGCATTATTTAAATAAAATTTTTTTAAATATAGTATTGATCCGATTTGTAACTGATAATGAAAATTGAATGTATAGTTTAACCAAATACCAACTATGCGAAAAGTTTAAAATCAGTCTAAACATAAAGAATAAAACTTATCTCTATTCAAGGAAATATTTATACAATAACAATCAAGGACATTTACACGCAGCTTTTTAATTTTTTCTTCATTAAACTATGTCCCGTTCAACAATATAACAATTCAATTTCACGTAAGTTATTCTTTTTTTTGTTGTTTCATTTCACGATTCTTATTTAAGATAATATATATTTATTTCTTCTTTTTTAATGACAGGGAATACTCTCGTAAAGAATCGAAAACGTTATTATATCTGGGAGGGTCATTTATACACATACGTATCTATGTGTATTACCTTATTAGTCGGCTTTCTCCATACGATTTTGTTATTTACAGAGTTGCTTTCTGTACGCGTGCGTAGGATACTAGAAAATAGAATTAATTTAAAAATAAGTGAACAAAAGATTCTTTTATTTATTTCTCAAACATTCATTGTCATATCTTCTTTTACGGTTTCAATATTCTTTTTCACACTTTTTATATTAGGATGAGTTGGAGGTAATGTATGTTGGAATATATCCAAAGCACGTTCTAAATAAGACAGTGCTTTTAAATAGTCTTTCATATTTCTATACACCAAACCGATGTTGTTGTATGAAGTAGTCAAATCAGGATGGTTTGAAGGAAGAGATTTTTCTCGAATTTCGAGTGCTTTTTCGTGAGATGAAAGTGCTCTCGAGTCTTCTCCCATGTTGTCATACACACTACCAACGTTACTGAATGACGTAGCCACCAGAGGATGATTTGGAGGAAGACTTTTTTGACAAATTCCAAGGGCTTTTTCGTAATATGAAAGTGCTTTTGAATACTCTCCCATCTGGTAATACACAGTACCGATATTGTTGTATGACTCCGCTAAATGAGAATGATTTGAAGGAAGAGTTTTTTCATAGATTTCAAGTGCCTTTTCGAGAGATGAAAGTGCTTTCGAGTACTCTCCTATGTTTTCATGCACCATACTGATGTTGTTATATGAAGTAGCCAATGAAGGATGATTTGAAGGAAGACTTTTTTCTCGAATTTCAAGTGCCTTTTCGAGAGATGAAAGTGCTTTCGAGTACTCTCCCATGTTTTCATATACACTACCGATGTTATCGAATGAAGTAGCCAATGAAGGATGATTTGAAGGAAGACACTTTTGATAGATTTCAAATGCTTTCTCATGAGATGAAAGTGCTTTCTGGTGTTCTCCCATGTTTTTATACACTAAACCGATGTTGTTGTATGAAGTAGCCAATGACGAATGATTTGAAGGAAGAATGTTTTCGCGAATTTCAAGTGCTTTTTCCTAAAATGAAAGTGCTTTTGAATACTCTCCCGTTTTGTCATACACATTACCGATATTGTTGTATGAAGTAGCCAATAAAGGATCATTTGAAGGAAGATCTTGTTCTTGAATTTTAAGTGCTTGTTCGAAATACCAAATAGCCTTTTCATAATCTCCTTGCTGATTTCTAGTATATCCTAAACAAACGTAATAATTTACTTTTTCACCCGCATCGGATGTCTGCTCGAGTAATACGTTATAAAGTTCTTCAGCTTTATTAAATTGACCAATTTGAAGTAATAAGTCACCCAATCTCTCCCATCCATTATCACCATCAGCGTCTTCTCGTATCCTGTCTGTAAGTAATCGTAATTGTTGGTCATCATCCGACGTTAATTGTAGTTCAACTTGATAAAGTTGATTGTTATTGTCCATTTGTTTAATTTCGTTCACTCGAAAGACGGTGTGCATGGAAAAGACAATTTCATCTTCTCCTCTAAAATGACTCATCTCTTTGATAGTGGCAAATGGTGTTGATTTGATACGAGGATCAATAAACATTATAAAGAGAATGCCCACCGTATTTGGTTTTGTTGAGGCACATTGAGCAAATTCGAGAGACACTTCTTTATCTTTGCTGGTGGACAAGAAATTGTTAAATGATATAAGTCCACCTTTAGTTTTTTGAAGTTTTTCGAAGTCTGATTTCATAAGACCTTGTCCTCGATAAACTACAAAAGACTTTCCACCATAGGCGCTAAATTGCTGCTCGTATAGCTGTTGAATTTGTTCATGTAGATAACGTAGAAAAAAACCCATAGTAATAATTATATCAGCGTCCATTATTCGAAGACCATAATTGAGCATGGAATAGATATCGAATGGGAACGTATACCACCAAATAGCGGACTGAGCATGATATTCTTTTTCAAAACGGTCAATATTTTTTTGGGACACGCTGTTATTATTTCGACAATAAGCAGTAAAGTGTTTGATGGCTTGATTACCATGTTCCATACCAAGAATAATATCCTTGAATATCTGGGTATACATAAAAGTTGGCTCCAACTGATTTAAATTATCAGTTGAAGCCATTTCATTTGCTGTGATAAAGCTCATGGCTATCGAGTCTTGATTGTGTTGCTTGATATCCAATTGTAATGCTTTGGGTAAGTCATCGATGTTGCTATGAACGCTTTTGATTTTTGGCCATTTTTTATTCCATTCTTCATGTTGGATTTTAATGTCAGTGAAGATATAAACACTATCCAGCTGAGAAATATCATCGATGAGGGGTATAATTTGTTCAGCGACCGTGTTATCGACAACGAGAAAAGATTTGATGTCTTCACGATCGGAAAGAAAATCAATGCATTCATCTCTCTGTGTAAAGACGTTGACATTGTCGGCAACGGTTTGTGTTTGTGTCAAAATATGTTTGTAATCTTTGTTTGTTTCGTCCATAGACTCATCTAACCAAATGACTAAATGATCTTGTACGATACGTCTTCGTCGCTCGATACCATTAGTTATTGTGTCCATTTCGTGTATGATGTGGATTTTTGAATAGAATAGGTAGTAGTGAAGGAGATGAATAAATTATATTATTTATATGAGAATGGAATCTCTTTGCGTAAAGAGTGGTACGGCGTCGTTATCTATCTTTATATGTTAACGTAGATTAATCATAATAGAACTTTGTTCGCTGTATTCTTTCATATACGTTATAGAGCCAGGTGACGACAAAGAACAAAAAAAAAGAATTCATTTTTATCAACTTTCTTCACAGATAAGAGATAATATCATCACTAACTGAAAAAAACCACATGTTTTCTTTGCAAGTAAAACACGTTAAAAGTCTCGCGGCATTTTCTTTCGTGTTGGAATCGTATATTGAAATTACACAAGGATATAAATTTAATGATACGTTTTTCTTATGCTAAATCTAGTACACATATCATTATATAAAAGAGTAAATAATAACTAATATTAAACTCGTTCTTAGATAAATTAAATTTATTCAATATTAGAATCATAATTAAAACTAGCAAAAGTACTCACCGTTACAGATAAATTGAGAATATGAATGTTGGTGAAATATTTTAATGACCCCCACACCTACACTCTCAAAACTTTTTGATTATCCTATGTTAATATTTATTGTTAAATAAATATAAGTGTCCACAACAGTGTTACAACATTCAACAGTTTGTCTAGTATTACGAGTAGTTTGTGTTAATAATTATGAACCATATATTAACGCCTGATAATATTTTTGATTTCAGATCGAAATTTCCTCGACACGAGAAAATTGGTATAGAACCCAACACAATAGGGGATATAAGAACTAAACAGAGCAAAATTCAGAAACAAGGTTGAGCGTTGAAATTCAGTAAAACTAGGTAATCGGTTTTGAAGTATCTGTATGTATATAAGAGCGGGTGGCATCATTGCAGAGAATGTGATATATATACTAATATCAATAATCAAAATTCGAATAAATTGGCTATCCTTTGAATGAGTAGGACGCGCAGCAACAATAGCTTTGCTGATAGTAGCAAGAATGATCTGACGTGTTTTCCGAAGATTTCTTACAGTCCATACTCCAAAAATAATCATCAATAAAGGAATTAGAATATCTTGAATTAAAATTGTATAAAAATTTATGAACGCTACATACACTCCAGGTTCGAAAGAGCAAATGATAACATTTGGTGCCGGTTCGATATTATGGGTCCAAGATAATGTATGAATATGAAATAATAACCAAAATAATGTTACACCTATGATGCAGATATAAGTTAGACGTAAAGTACTTCGTTGTCTTGTTAGAGCGTTTGGTGAAGTGATTAATATTCGATCAATCGATGCTAATATTAAGTAAGATGGACTTAAAATAGTAAACACAAACTGTGTATAAAAATGAAAATGACAGAAACTTAGACTATATAAAGTAAGATCAATATTATAACCATTTGATAGTATCCCTGATAACGCTGTTGTATAGATTTGTAGAAGGTTACTAATATGATATGCCACCAAATATATTGCACATGGATTTTTGCGTAGATTCTTTTTTGTAAAAACAATTAGACTAAGTACACAACTTACAGTACCCAGAATCATCAAAACTGGTCCACCGTATTTATATAAATTTGTTTGTATCGATATTAATAATGAATTGTCAACTATTTCCAAAGGCATTTCAATCGATGTATCTGAAAAACACTGAATATAAGAGATATTATATAAAAAACAACAAACTTCCAAATTCTTTCCTAAAATATTTTATACTGAGATTTCTAATTAAATATTCTATGACATTCTATCCCCTTGTTCAGTGGTTTATCCAGCGGGGGGGGGCACGGGGCTTTTTGCCCCCTCGGAGGATGCTCCTGCCCCCCCGGAATTCAGAAAAATTACGCTTTTTGAGTCTGAAAATCTACGTTTGCCCCCCTCAGAAGAGAGATTTTTGCCCCCCCGGCAGTTAATTTCGCATCCTCGGACGAAAAAAGCTGGATAAAACACTGCCCTTGTTTATTAGCCATTGGAGTAATGTTCTGACAAACCAATTGCAACAAAGATGAACTAAGAAAGCTTATTAACATATTATAACTAGGGGTGTTA